AAAAAAAAAGTCTTTCAAAAGAAATATTTAATACCTAACAAGGTGAATCTGGTAGCTTGATATACAAAGGGGATCCCCCCACCCAAAAAACAAAAACAATGGAAAAAAGCTCCACTGGGAAGAGCTTTTGTAGTACTATGCATTTTTTCTGCTAGGGGAGCATCTAGCAACTAGCTATGAGTTAGTGCACCCAGTGGCATCACCTGGGAAGGTTCTCTGTGGTCACAGTGGATTTTTTCATAAAAGCAATTTCACTTGAACCTCGTTTTTTTGATGGCCAATTTAAGAGTACAGCTTGTGGCCATGAAATTTTGTTTTCTGCTTGGGACAAATGCTGCAGAAATTGCTGTGATGTTGAACACACACACTATAAGGATAGTGCTTTGGGAAAAACACAAGTGTATGGGTGGTTTTCTTGTTTCAAAACAGGTGAAATGTTGATTAATGACAAACCTCATTCTATAGGTCTTTCAACTTCCTGAACGGACAAAAATGTTGACAAAATTCATGCACTTATTCTCAAAGACCAACGAAGAACCACTGAAGAGCTGGGGAAGTTAAATGGACTATCTTGGAGTTTGGTTCAATGAATTTTAATGGAAGAGTTGGGAATGAGATGGGTCATTACAAAATTTGTGCCTTGGGTTCTGACTGACCAGGAAAAAGCAAAAGAGTGTTGAGTGGGTACATGCCATGCTTTGAAATAACAGCTCTAAAGTGACCCAGACTTTTTTTCCAAGGTCATTACTGGTGAAGAGACATGGTGCTATTCTTATGATCCTGAAAGCATCAATCAAGCCAGTGGAAGATGCCATCTTCACCTCACCCCCCAAAAGCTCATCAAGTGAAATTAAAGATCAAGATATTGCTCATTTGTATTTTTGATGTGAGGGGAATAGTGTATTTGGTGTTCACTCCACCAGGTCAGACTTAATCAAGCTTTCTATTTAGAGGTTCTGAAAAGATTGGATAACAGGGTGCCACAAAAAAAGGCCTGATTTGTGGCAGATGCAGGACTGATTTTGCCACCACGACAATACACCTGTTCATGTAGCCATCTTAGTGCGCCAGTTTTTGGCAATAAACAGAATACTTCTCTTGCCCCATGCAGCCTACTCATCTGACTTCGCTCCATGCACCTTTTTTTTGGTCTTGAGAATGCAGAAGGACACAAAAGGACAGCGATTTGACCACATAGAAGAGGTGAAGAAGAAA